ATGACTATATTTTTATAATTTTTGATATAGCTTTTTAAGTTAAAAAATTGATAAATTAACAGAACAAGCGTGAAACAGTCAAAATATACAACAATGAATTGGATGTACATTTTTATTTCTTTCTTGCAGAATTTTGATATGCTATGAAAAAAAGGAATCACAATACAATAATTTACAAAGATTTATTTATGATAATTATCTTTCATAAATATATAATTATTTTCGATGGCTTTAAAGCCAATACGTTATTATGCTTTTATATTAATCATTCTCAATAATGATATTCTTGTGAATCGGTTAGACATTAGCAAGAATCTTCCTGAGCTCTTTCTTTTTGTCTTCGGTTAATCTTGAAGGGAACATAACTTCATATTTTACAATTAGATCGCCTTTTTTATTCGGATCTTTTGTCGGCATCCCTTCATTTGGAACCCTCTGCTCTTGACCCGGTCTTATAACTGAGCTGCTCGATATGTTTAGGGGCCTACCATCCAGCGTTTGGATTTGTTTCTTAAAGCCTACGAGAGCCTCTAGTAAAGATATTTTTATGACAGTACGTAGATCATCGCTGTCACGAGTAAATATCGGATGCGGTTTTTCATCTACAACTACTACAATATCTTGTGTTTCTCCAGATGGTAACTCATCTCCAGCTTTACTATATCGGAATTTCGTTCCAGCTTTTAACCCTGGTCTAACATTAACTTCTATGATTTTATCAGTGGGAACGTGTTGACCTGATGCGCTGTCATATAATTTTCGGGAAACTTTGAGTTTTTTTGTAGTTCCCTTATATAATTCCTCAAGTGTAAAGGATAAATGATGTTTGACTTCAGATAGACCTCTACCCTCGCCACGAGATCGACCGAATAAGTCGCCAAAATCTCCTGCAGATCGACCTCTCGAAAACGAAGGGAATTTACCAAAAGGATCATCATCGTCAACACCTCCAAATTGAGAAAAGAAATTGTTGAAGATGGAATTTGGATCAGTCGGGGTGAAACCGCCAGGACCTTTAGACAAGAACAAATGAATTATTTAATAACAAATTCTCTTCAGATAAAAAATAAATTTTATTTTATTTCCTTAATACCTGTTCTGAATGTAAAGGTGGTACCACCGGGAAAACCTTGGAAGCCGCCGGGAAATGCACCACCCGCATCAGGCGGAGGAGCACCTTTCAAACCTTCTTCACCATATGCGTCATAAATTTGGCGTTTATTTTTATCGCTAAGCACTTCATATGCTTCACTAATTTCTTTAAACTTTTTCTCCGCGGCCTCTTTATCGGCACTACCTTGATGCCTATCAGGATGCCATTTTAAAGCTGTTTATAAAAAACAGATGGTTTAATAAGTATGTGTATTATAATGGAAAATGAAATGGAATTTATAAAGAAGCTTGAACATGCCTAACTTCCTATAGGCTTTCTTAAGTTCTTCTTCGTCTGCATTTTTATCGACACCAAGAATTTTATAATAATCTTTACCCATTATTATTATAGTTTTTTTTTTAAAAAAAAATATATATTTTTTAGATTTTGAATTTTAATAAATTGCGCGAAATAATTTTTGTAAAAAGTATCGGTAGTTGTAACGTTAATTATTTAGCTTTTTTATAAGCCAAAATTACTTTTACTAGAATATTCTCCAATGCACTGGAAATCGTCCGATTTAAACTAAAATCTCATGGTTAATCATTTAAGGAAAAGATGGCTATGTGGTAATGTGATAAACATCCAACAGGGTTAGCAATTTATCCGTTTATAGCCTTATGATTGGCTACTGATTCTATCACCTGGAGGGAGGGGTCTTCTATTAAAAAGAAATTACGTAATACTTTAATAACCCTAGCTGTTACATGAACTAGCAGAATGATCAGTGTAACATCGACGATTTAAGCGAGTAATACAAACTCTTAAAAAGGAAATAGCCAATCAGAGTGTGCAAATGGATGACAATTAACATGCAAAATCTGAATTTTCGAAATTTTCAATTTTCAGAAACGGCACATGATTTAATATTATTAAATAGAATTTATATTTATTAGAGGTCTGATCAGCCCGTTTCTGAAAAGTCGAAAATTCAGATTTGCATGTTTTAATTGTGCGTCACCCAAATAGAATCCGAATACGTGCGAACAAAGAAAAAGCGAAAATGCTCAAAACTAGTGTTTAAGTCGCACTAATTAAAAATGTCGGGATGAAATTTTATATATAATAAGTGCTAATCCTTTTATAGCCTCTAATAGTATAGGACATGTTCTCTTAAATTATAACTTACTTTATAGGTCAAATTAGATAATATACTATATATATACAATTTTATATATAAAATTTATAAAAAAAATGTTTTTTAATTTTTTTAAAAAAATAAATATAAAACATAACTTCAAACTTTAAACATTTGTTTTGTTAGCATTTTACTTTTTTAACAAAAATAAATATAGTATGCGATGATTCTTCAAAGAGCTTTATTAATATTTTTCACTCTATTTGCTATTGTAATACTACAAAGATTCAAAATAAGTGTTAGGGCTCTGCTAAAACTGTAAGTTTATTACCTGACTATTAATTATGAAATACTTGTATTTTATTTATTTATTTATTGCTTTTAACTACAAGTATTAGGTAATAAAAAGAAAAATAATATTACTTTGACAGTAAAAAAATTTTTAGAAAAATTATTTCTTGAAAAAAAGTATAACTAGAATTCGAAGTGTAGTATTAGCAAAAATTATACTTAGATAATAGTTCTGTTAAAAATAGTATAAAATTATATAAATGAATTAATAATCAAAAGATTTAGACAAAAATATATAAGAAATCTTTAAAATAAATAATATTTAGTGTATTCTCTTTAATAATCTCTTGGTCAACAACAATTAAAACTAAATTACAGAAAAATGCTATAGAAATATTCAAGACAGCTACTATCTTTAGTCTTACCTTGAGTAAACTGTTGTCAACAAAGCTTTAAAGATGTGAAATATTAAGGAGCGAGTATCAAATAAATAGTTTTTCTTGGGGTTAAGTTTTTTTCTCTCTTTGTAAACGAACTCCCTAGGATATTTGATATCCAAACTAAAAGGTTTATTCTGGAAACAAGTTTATTCAAAGCAGGCTGTTGTTAACAAAACCTGAAAGATGTGAAACACCAAGAAGTGGGAGTAAACAAAGTGGTTTTTCTTGGGGTTACAGTCAAAATTATAAGTATCCCACCCTCTCTAATTTTTT